GAAACCATCAGATTACACCCTTTTCGTTCGCTGCAACACCATCTTAATGGGAAAGCGTATGCAAATGTGGAAGGTGTTAAAGTGGACATCGACATGTTTTTTGCTTCAAAGCCAAGTGATTTCTTTAATCAGGGCATTAACAACCTGGTTGTAAGATGGAAAAAGCATCATCGATAAGAATGAAGACTATTTCAGTTAATAAATGTTTTGATATATCAGTTGTTCGGGTTTTTTCATTTAAAAAAGCCACATTAATTTCTTGACGACCTAATATCTGCTTTTCTAATTTTCTTTATTTCCAATATTCGTGCACAACTACCATAATCAAACGTTATTGGTAAATGTGCTGCAAAATCTATTCGATTCTTTCATTTTTCTAAATTATTAGATTTTAAGTTGACTAAACCTAGCCCCTAATTTATAACTGATAGACTAGCGGGAGAAAAGCTTTCCAACAGCACCCAGCGCCTACTGTTAGGCTACTCTAATCAAATATTGATATTTGACTGTCAATATTAGATCGCATCTACGCACGTAAAGAGCGGAATACGATTTTGCGGCAAACCATCAACCCTCAACTTCACACTAACTACAGGATCATGTCTGATCAAAAATGATTAAGTTTCTTTAACAAATCGAAACGTTTTTAATTCGAAAAACTTCAAAAAAGAACCAGCTTAAACAATATTTAAACCAACAGAGTTCAATCAGATCTATACAATGTGTGTATATATAGACGACATATTTTGTTAGAGAACACAAAACTGGTTGAGGTTTGAAAAGCGTGGAATAAAAAAAAAAACTAGTTAAACATGACAAATATCAACTACCCAATTTCTAATTGCCTATTATAATTATCTGTTCCAGTCATGCAAAGCCTAATAATATTATTGAATTGCTTGGTCTAATACAGTGTAGCTTATACTAATGCTGGTGTACAGAACTTGAAGTTATAACCATTATTTCTTTAAAACTCTAAGTTTTAAACATTATCTTTATCCTTTCATTATGCACTATATACATTTTTGTGTACATCTATTTTGTGGGACATCCATAAAAATTAGCCTCTTCCCGCCATTGTAGCGAATAACAACAAATTCACCTGACAGAACGCACGTGTCCACAGTCACGCAGCCACACCGTAAAGTATCACCACCGAAGTGACAACGGTTGAATCGTTAACGTTCACGTACTGACTGCAGCTTGCTCTCGCTTGGGCTATGACGTTGGGAGTGAATGGGAACAGTGAAACTAATAATTGTGCACATAAAAAATTCACGATTACCTAGAAGTGAAGGGCATAAGAGTCGTTTAGAAAATCCAATAACGAACACAGCAAAACTGCCGTGAGTTGTATACAGCAACATTTAATGTACACCGTACATATTTTCTTTAGTTATTCTACTTTCAAATAATAATACGGTATCCTGCAAGTTGTTATCTGCACAGTAAAGTCAAGATAATGATTTTGTTTGTTATTATTTATTGTTCACTATTATTTTAGTTAAACCGACTTCTGCGCAGCACTACTTAAGATTTTTTTTAAATAAACTGTGTTAATTCACATTTCATTAATATAATGCTCAGAATTCAGAAAAAAACAACAACACTAATCACACCATTCAAAATCACTTTCAACTGCATGTTTATTCATGTGCCTGTGGTATGACAATTTAAGGAAAAACTGGACATAACATTTTGGTTTAAATAGCAAACACTAACCAATATCTTACAACTTAGATCACTATTAATCAGAGTGAAACTCTGCTTGCAAATACAATACTAAAAAATATTTAATAATTTTTTTTTTCATCGTTGGATGTCAAGTTGAATAAATACCTAGAAATGATCTGGCACTAACCTTGCGCTTAATCCATCAGGATAAATATGGGTTAAGCGCAAGATTAGTACTAGATCATTTATAGGTTTTAGTCAACTTGAAATCTAACTATAATAGGAAGCTTTAAAATAACACTAAATGGATGGTTCTAACATTAAAACGTGAAATTTTGTTATATCTTACATAATACTTCTGAATTTTTTCTATTATTGCTCACATGTGTAAAGTGAGATCATTTCTTATTCAGTGTTATCCAGGTTTCCCACTAAAAAAAGGGAGATAATCAAGCGCTTTTTTTTTTTGACTTATTATACGTGAAAAAGTACAAAAACCCAAACAAGAACACAAAGAAAAGGAAAATGAAGAAGTGACAGATAAACTGACGAAGGAGTCTGATCTTAGAGGGGAAAAAAAAGAAGCGTAATTCAGAATATAAACCCATTTCCGACTGCTTAATTAAGCAGTCAGATTTGCAACTTGAGAGAGTAGTTACAGATTAGAAGTTATTGGTTTGAAAGTTGTTTTTGCCCTCACGAGCACCGGACTCGCACTGAAGAAGTGTATCCAGAGCAGGCATTACCAAAATGTTCTGG